TGACCGTCTACACGTATGAAAGCTCTATTTTAAAATATCACTAACGAAACATCAGAAAAAATTGTTCTGTGGAAACTCAATGATTAAAATCCGATTACTACGATGTCCCACTCGAAAAGCTTATCTGATTTTCTCTCTATAGATCACTGAATTTACCCAGGACTAATAATATGCAATCATTTTCAGACTGTGATTGCTTTCTTTGTGTGATTGTGAATTCCCAAGTAACCAATAAAGGGGAAATAAAGGGAACGAAAGCGTAAATAATGGAAAAATGTCGCTTTTTCGCCTTTACGTCGGTTATTTGGGGAAATGTCGATTTTTCCCCCCTTACATCGTGTATTTGGGGGATATTTGTCGACAATTGTACGTAACGTTCCGTGTTTGAATATGTTGCATCTCGTACTGATGTTCTCATAAACGTCGACAAAATAAGGCACCGTTTAATAAAAAAACAAAACTATTGCCATAGACACAAGTAAAATATTACGGACATAGGGATTCGCCTGAGACGCATATACACTGACTTCATCATTTGGTTCACTGAAGTGTTCCGACATGTTTGGTAGCCAAAACAAATAACTAACGTGATGCAGGTGAGTGATGTGCTTTTAGTTTTTCGTGTTCATTATAACTAATCACCTTGTTAGTTCAATACTATGAGTTCAATTAAAGTGGCTGAGAGAGGTCGTAGACGTAGGGCCACAATTAACTTGTCAAGCTTCCCTGACTGTCAGAGACTGACCTATAGCAAACGGTGGAATAAAATACGTACAGCTTTGATGAAAAAACATAACTTGCTTTCGTTTAGTCAGTTTGCTAATGAAAGCACAAAGGTAACTGACTATAACAGTGGTCTATGTTTAATTGATTGCAGTCGAGAGAGAAATTAATTGTAGTGAGAGTCCTTCAACTGTTACACCACCCACTAGGTACAGCAATCAAAAGCTTCTAGATAATAATCGTATGTTTATGAAGTGAATACGTTAACATATTTCTTATAGGGTGTAATGGCGTTAATTTGTGCTCTCAGAAGTTAGTAAAGAGCAGAGCAACGATCTATTGATGAACTTAATTACAACAACCTCTCTGAGCATCAGAGATGCCGATCGGATTCTGAATGTATTCCGAGTTCTTGTACCGGACTTACCGAGGAGCATCAGAAGTGTCTTGAGGACATGCACAAGTGTCTAACCAAAGTTTGTCAGCAGTGGGATTTAATACCACCACGGATTGAAAACCAATCTGCTAAGATATGATGAACTTTGGTTGTGTACTTTTGATACTTCAAATGTTTATATTAATGTAGATGGACTTTCGATGTCCATGGGCTCTAATCAACATTTATGGCTTATATTAGGATGAATCGTTACCCTAAAGTTTGGCGACGTGTTCATGATAGGGATGTACGGAGGTAGTAGTTCCACACAGTTCGACACATGACCGTCAACATTAGAATCTAAGCATGTAGGCTGTGCTTCAGCGGCCCAGTAATTCACCTATACGATCAAATGAAGTTTATCAGATTTGATAGGTTGTATACAATGGTGCAGAACATGTCGTCAGCTACCACTGACTTGAGTACAAATCTAAAGCTGTTAATAGCGAAGTTCAGTCAACGCAAACATCCACATCAATCCGACTGCCAACCATCAAGTCAGCAGTTCCCTTTGTCATCTGAAGAAGGACTGCAGACGTTGGACACTGGTTTGCACCAGGAAGAAACAAGGGACGGATTTGTATGTTAACCACAATAATTTTACAGTTTGTTCGTATTAAATATGGTCATGTTAATGAGGTTAATGGATGATGATCCTAAAACGTCAATGCGATATGTTTTGTCGTACCTCATGACACCCGAGGTGGCCAGTAATTTCACGCTACTTGGCACTTCTTCAAAACGAGCACTTCAGAAATGCCGTGCTTACGAAGTAGCCTATATCTGTTATTTAAACTACAGTTGCATTAACAAATCGCTTTTTGTCATCCTCATCGAAAAAGACCTTACGAAGCTGTACGACACAAGGTTATTTTCACGATGTCAGAAACAAATTGATAAAGCGTAATCGGAGGAAACAAGAGCAGGTATGTACTAGTTTAAAGTGATAATTTCCCTACTGCTCTATAGTTACAGTCAACAGTTTTAACGAACATAACCGTAAGTGAGGCTTCAAGTATCTGGCTGTGCCAAAGCATGTAATTCAGATATCTTTGTAAATTCTCTCGTTCTTTACACTTTGGAATCCACAGGAAGACTATTTTTATTCTCAATAGCCGAACATGCGTGACTAAAGGAATTAATCCGTGAAATGTTTCTTATGTTCTACCTGTTTTTTAATAAACATTATTTTGTAAATGAGCTTAATTTCATACTTACATCGGAAACTACTTAAGTGTTGAGAAAAGGTGTTTGATTGTCAGTGAACTTGCGATTAAATACACATGTCTTATTAATAATACATCACCTGTTTCTTCTTTTGCAGATCTTTTCAAATAACAATGAATTGGCAATTACAATGAAAATGCATAACGATTGATGCTCAAGCTTCTGCTGCAATGTTGTGCAATATTACGCTTCTCCTTTTCAATAAAATGATTCAAACATATACCATTTTCCCCGTCGATGGAAGTTCCATTGTGATTTGTTGTGGGGATAAAGGCGAACATAGGGGACCTTTTAGGTTACGTCAATGGTATTTTAAAAGTTGAAGCAAAAGCAGACAATTCAGCGTATATCTAGGCGAAAAGTAGAAAATTTAGCAGACATTTAGACAAGAAGTAGACAAGTCAGCGACATTTGAGCGAAAGAGCGACAAAAAGGAGGAAATCCTCATTATTTCCCCCTGGTGAGGCGAAAAAGTAGACATTTTGGCGCGTTTCCCCTTTATTTTCCAATGCATTTTCCCCTTTGTTTCCCCTTCGTTCGCCTTTATTTCCCCTCTGTTGGTTGATTAGGTTGCTTAATTTGAAACATAATTTTAGAGATAGCATAAGCCTTAATTAGTGTCATTCTGAATAGGAATTAATTAACGTAGATTGAATCAAGGAGGCACTCGGTAAATGTGTGAACGTTAAGATAAACCGTTGTCAGTAGATGCCAACATGTTGATCATGATTGTCCCACCGTAATCACTGATCAAACGACTAACTGTACACTGACAGTAATCGATCCATCACTGAGAGTGCATGTGGCTGCCAAACCAAAATATCGATTTTCTCCACTCAACATCCAAAAGCAGTACACCTCATCCTCCATTACTTCAAAATAGGTCAGAAGTGTAGTGAAATACGTTTTGGTTTCCGTTGCTCACTATCTGATGTAAAATCATGATGAAAACAACATTCAAATAACTCCGAGTCTGCATAAATCCACCTTAAAAGAAATCTAAATGACGTACTTGGATTATTAATGACATAATTATTTCAATGTAAATCATGAAACTCATCCACCTCACGTTGGATCAAAGCAACAACTCACATGGCTTTATGTAAGCTTTATCTAGGCACATTCAAAGCATTTTAAGTCATATCATTCATTTTACGCAATTCATTCGAACATTAGAACTAGTGAATTTTGAAATCTGAAGACACTTTAAAAAACTTGCTTTCGTCTGGCTCAGTTATAAACCCATATCAACGAGCTTATCTGGGACTATGTCATCTGGGAACCAATTCTCCACAACGACGACAAGAACTAGAATTTTTGAACTGCAATAAAAAATACTTCATGAATTATACTCCAGCTATAAACGCCTTACCTAGGTTAAAGCACTAGTTGGATGAAACTTTATTAAAAGTTAATTCGTAAACTGGAAATTCACCTTTCATGACCGACGATCTAATATGTGGTGGATCAGACAATATACGAACTCACAAAGTAATAACAGAGTTATTAAGAACAAATAGTGATGTTAATATATATACGTTAAATGTTATAAATACAATAGAAATGAGGGACTTAACTTAGTTCACCAGGCTAGTGCGTGTTCTGATTTGATACGGTACCAAATATCCACGATTATAGATGGTTGATAATTCCAGTAAGTTTGACTAATTCCGCAGCCGTATAATCCAGCGTAGATTATGATATATTCCGATTACAGTTTTTAAATGCAGACAGTATTTGACTTAGAGTTCAGTTAACACAATCACAAGTGTATGTAGAACGAGCGGTATGTGAGCAAAAATGTATTTGTTAGCAGTCAAAAGTGTGTCATGCTATAAATGTAATACAACGGAAAGTGAGTTCAAGGTCATACACTTAATGATAAATATACATGCAGTGAAGAATTGACAAAATAAATACAAATAACATCAAAAACTATTTACAAAATGAGCTTGTCAGGCATATCTCCACAAGTATCTTACCAATACGAATCGGAATGTACTATAACAGAATGAAGCTTTTAAGTTAGGACACAGCACTGTGGTTTCAACTGGCATCTATGCAAATCAATACGAAACATAAACCAGTTGATCAAATGAATAGGTAAAAAGCATCACAACACAAGCAAATAACCAAATGAAGGATGAATATAGAAAGTACATTGCTGACTAACATAATTAAAATTTAATTCTTCGGAAAAAAATATATGAGAAAAATCGATATATTTAATCCATAAATACCGATTTACCTCGATAAACCATATGTCAACAGAACGCTTACCAAATGGACATTCTCGATGGTTTCATCAAATGACCATGTTGTTAAAGAAATTGGATTATGATGGACTTCTGGAGAAAATAAATATACAGAGGAACTCGAATAAAACTGCGTATTTAGAATTCATTATGTATTTGGAGAGTTTAGAAATGTTAATATATCAAAATTTTATGGAGTTTTAGTTTGTTTTATTGTATAAGAAAACATTTGATGACCTTGATATCTATAACGATTTTTTGAGAAAATTTAAAAATGAACAAAAATTGCCAAAACAATTTTTATTATTTAGTAAGCTATTCGGAGTGAAGATTGTAAATATCATCTCTATAAATAAAGCATGGACTATTCGCGAGTTCCCGATAAGGCTGTTAAACTTTCTGAACTACTGGATCTAGCTCTTGGAACACCTGATGTAATAGTTATAATATAAATCATAAATTTATTTTAGCCAGGGTCGGTTAACTTCGGAATATTGTATATCATTTTATCACATATAATAAAGCACCTCAAACTCAGCGATGTGGAGCCAGATGTAGAGAAACCTTCAAATGAACCACGGTCACAGAATGAAGCAAAAATATCAACTTCTGAATTGGCCCCAAATATATTCCATAATATTCAAGTAAGATTGGATTTATAAGTTTCACTTTTTTATCGTAAAATTTTATACTTGAGGTCATTCGACTAATCTTAAGGAGCTTCTTATGGAGCCATTGTACAGCTGTGTCAGTTATTAAAATCTTCCTTAAGTAGTCATATACTGTATAATTAATCAAAATCGGCTTCTGAATAAATAATTTTCGGCGAGACTATGGTTTATGGATGAAACATTCAGGTATAAGGTAACAGGTATCGGGCTTTGGCGCAAAATTCAATAATCCATTTGAATAAATAGAGTTTTTAGCATTGTAACCGATGTCAGTTCGTGATGAAAAACCTAAATCTAATTCCTAGCCCTGACCACCAAATGTAAATCATAATCTGAAACACTCACACTAATTTATAACCCACATTTGGTCCTAGTTGTCAGGTGGACACTCTACAGGTCAGTCTAGCGTCGCTCAAAGATTGCCCGTAAATTACAGTCCCACCATATTTTCTTCGAGCACATTTTTAATTACAAAAATCAAATCAGCTCTGTATACTACACAGTGAGATGGATATTTTTAGTACACATTATCAACCAGATATACGGATAATATAATAACATAATAACATATAATTCACCACTTTTAGTAGATATGTATAATATTCTCTACTACAGTTTATGATTCTAACAACTTCCACCAAGATGATAATGGAAATAAATAAGAACTTTGAAATGTGAATCAAAATTCATTTCAACACTCACCTTATGCTCTAACAAATATTCTATAAGACAAAAGCTGGACATTTATCCAATATTGTTTGAATAAGAAGACAATCATACATTGTACTTCATATGAATGAACTTAGATTGGTAACCAATTCTATGTTGTTTGAATATTAGTGCTAAATGTATTTGGTCTGGAATATTTACAATACACTCACTAGTCCAAATGACCAATAGTTAAAATTCATCACTATTTGATGTTAGGCAGTTTGGAGTGAACAGCAAAACGATGAGACAAGTATGATAGGTACTTCGTACTATAAGATGGTCCAGTCCTTGTTCTCAGCTTTTATCACACTCCCAGTGTGGTGAAAGTAAACTCGAATTATTATTATTATTATTAATGGCTTTATTCAATATTATATTTTGGTACAATATAGAATTCTCAGCACAATATAGTGAACTGTCAAATTATTTTATGGGAAACCACACATTGGTTTTGTAAAATACGAAAATCATACATTGGACGCATTATTTGCACATTTTCCTTGAGTCATCTTTTATATAATCTATCATTCTTCTTGTTCCAATGTTATTCCGATTGCTCTCTGTTTTTCTTCATGTTCTATTCATTTCAATCTTCTGCTTTCAAGCGTTATACTTCTAATTTATGCTAACTACTACTTATATCTGTTCGCATAAGTAGTGCACGCTACACTGGCACGCATATATATTACATAGTTTGACTTAAAACTAGTGACAACGGATTAAAGCCCGAATGTTCATCATCATTGTATAAAGTAACAAAGCATTTAGACCTATTCAGTCTCTTGATAAAGAATCACGAATTTTCATTGCAAACCTCAATACTCTTGTGATTATATTGTCAAGTAAATGACCCTACCAGATACATATAACTTTGATGTGCACTTTTATAAGCAATTGATAATCATTCCTTGATAAAGGATCAAAATAATATTGAATAGCGGAAATGATGACTTTTGTAAATAACGCTTCTTAGATATTAAGGATACTTTTATCATCAGAAAATTTGAAAATTGGTTGAAATAGTAAAATAATATTCATTACCTACTAACCTAAACTTTATACGACTAATTAGTCTCACTACGATATACTAAGTCCGTGGATAGTTAAAAACTTTCATGCTTGTTAAAAATAACTTTACAGGTTAAGAACAGCTAAACTGTATTACTTTTGTCAAAACTAACAGATGGCATAAATATCATTCGTACAGAAATCCAAAGCTTTCTTTACTACTGACAAATCATGATAACAAAGAGTAGTAGATGATAACCAAAACGTCTTGACATATACGACATTGGTCTCTATGAAGCTATCAATCAATTGCAAATATGTCTTAACTTAAAATGTCTCTTCAATTGTTTTATATTTACAGTTTGAGTAATGATGGTTTTTCATTCAGTTTGACATCGTTTAATTAGGAATATATTGACAATATTTAAAGTAGCGTTATACGATCCAACGGTTACATGACATTTGTAAGCTTGAAAGAAGCATTTCTACGAAGTCAACTTGCTGATAAAAATATCTATCCAATACTTTCTATTGTACAACTCATTTTTAATGCTCTGTAGTGACCTACTTTTATCAAGAGAATGCGATTGGTTTAATGGAAACAATCATTATTATAACCATTTGTACCAGTGATTATTTTACTGTACTTATTTGTTTGACTGCACTAAAGACATCCATTATTCCTGCTTTTTTGTTGTGACCTCGCGCGAATTCGGTTACGTTCAGTAACCAAGCTTGTATCCTGGCACGATCTTGGTATTCTTTCGATACCACGAGATCGCCAGCAAACATATCTCGACTACATCCATTAACTGCCTTCTGATATTTGGCTTCCGGGGGATTTTATCGATATTCTGTACGCAACCTTCTTGTAGTGGTGTTCATAGTCTACCGCGACTCGACACCACGCTACAGCTCAAACCAAGAGGTGGAAAAATGAAGTGAACCCAAAATAAATTAAAACTTAATTGTTTTCTTGATCTAATTTTAAGATCTTAGATAAATCTGATTAAGTAATCGTATTGAAAGTTATTTTACGCTAATTAGTGTATAATGAAAGTGGGACTGTGCTATATTATTAACAGAATGATTCAGAATTCATAACAAATATGTATTTATCAGTATGGGATTGTGAAGATGATTATGTTTTTTATTAAGATCATAAACCGATTGATGTTAAACCATTATTGAAAACCTGGAGGTACTGGACGACGGTTTCATCCTATTATGGGCCTCCTCAGCGGTGCATATTCACGATCCCGCTTGTGGGGTAAAACAGCCGTCCAGCGCTCTCAGGTTTCCAATGACCTAAAATCAATCAGTTCATGATCTTGCTGTGCTAATGAGATGTGACATCTTGGACCGATGCATATATGTGCCTGGTCCTACATTGTAGCTGACTGACTGACTGACTTTAGTTGAGTCATCAGAAAACATTGAATTATGTTATGAAATTGCTCACAATCGACGTTCTTTTGTTTAAACGTTCTGATCCTATAGTTAGCTGCTTGAATATCTCACTGAAGATCTCTAGGATTATAGCTCTGAACAGCCTACATAATTTGACAGACGTGGTTATTTATTTATATATTTAATGCAAATTTATGAATGGCTCTGAGATACTTTAAATATAATAGAAATTTGTATAAATTAAATAGGTCAACAACTAACACACAACAGTACAACAGTTTTACATTGTTGACGATTTACATGCGGTTGAAGAAAGGAAATAACTGTAAATAAACGTTGTTATGTGTATAGAACAAGGTAACCAATATAATAGATTTCAGTTATATGGTTAAATATTAATGGTAACTAAAAATAACAATGTTGGTGAAAAACGAATAGAAAACTGTTTGAGATTATAATTTCTAACAGCTGATTATTGTAACCAATGGTTAGAGACTCTGAGTGACCTAACTTAGAATCGATCACAATGACGTTGGTGTATACACTCTCTGTCCTCCCTTAAGCTAAGAGATGAAAATCGTTTCATATCCTTCTTTCTACGAGCTATACCCTTATACATAATCTCTCTTTTATATTTCACTACCATTGATTTAAATACTTCTATGAATCCGATGTTCATGTTGTTGTGCCGATGAGGTATGACAACTTAGACCGATGCACATATGTACCTGGTCCTACGTTGTAGCTGACTGACTGACAATAATCTTGATTCTGATTACTTTGAGAATGTTTCATTTTTTATGATAAAAATGATCTTTACTTTCATAACGAGGTTGATTTGATAATCTCCTTGATTGTAATAATGAATTAAGCAATTTTAAAGGTTCTTCAGTTCGTTATTGTTTAATAAACCTCATATATAACTTTTCTTGTAACTATGTAGATAAACCTTAATGGAAATCGACTGACAACTGAGAAGCAGACTGATAAACTGACTACTGACATTTAAGATGATGTATTCACCTGGATACTAGAATGAGGTCTTCTGATATGATTATTGATTTAACCACAATTTTATTCCATAAATTCTAGTGTTTTCCAACTTTCTTCTAATGTGTGTTGTGATTATGTAGCTTGCCATCGTTGTCCATTACATTACATTCATTGGTTTTTTGACTTTTGAGAAAGCATAAGTTGGTGAAATGCCCCTTACCACAGTTTTATATTGTAGATGTTAGAGTTCTCATTACTTTGCGTGATCCAGTGCAAGAGTGTAGTGCAGGGAATTCTGAAAGTTCGGAATCAGAATCATGTTAATAATGAACTGTATAAAATTCAGAATCATATTGCCCCTTAGAATGTATCACAGTAGTGTCATGTATGGTATTTGGTAGCATCATCAGTAAAGGCTCACGTGGATCTTTATGTAATCAGTGTAGTTAACCCAATTTGAAGTTTGAATATGTCATTCAAGTAGCAAGTAGGATATTACAGGAAACCTTAAACTGAACAACATCCCATCATCTACTGGACATTTTCATCACTCAGAACAATTATTTCAACTCAAATTCAATTTTAATCAAATTATTCAAATACAATCATAATGAATTAAGTCTAAATTTATTACAATATGGACTAACTTACTTACTTACGCCTGTTACTCCTCGTGGAGAAGCATATGACACCCACCAACACTTTCCATCCAACCCTGTTTTGAGCAATCCTTCTAAGCTCTTCCCAGTTGTTATTCATCCTTTTTATATCTGCTTCTACTTCCCGGTGTAATGTACCCTTTAACCTTCCTCTTTTTCGCCTCCCCTCAAGATTCTGAGTTAGCTCTTGCC